ACCCTTCCCAAATTAGATGTTTTAGACCTAGGCTAAAATAGTCAAAAAACTAAAAAGCCAATCCACTTTCCAAATGAACCCTAAAAAGGTTACTTCCCAAACGAGGCCTAAGTGTCTCTCTAAAAATAAATAAATAAATAAAAATAAAAATTATTACGTATCCTATTTTGATATTTTGAACTATTTATTTTGTAAGGTATTTGTGTATATCATAGAAAAAATTATGCTAATATGATAATTGTAACATTTTCTTTTTATTGTATTGGTCTAAAAAAAAAAGAAAAAGAAAAAGGAATGACATATTTTAAAAAACATATTTGTCAACTATTTTTCGGGAGACAAACTTAATAAAATGAAAATGTTAAGATTATTGAATCAATCTACTTTTATTTATATTTTTTTTATGGATAATCATTGAAAATTTAATTTTAAACAATAAATAACAATTCTAATCAAACAATCAATAACAAATTGGCACAACGATGTAACGTGGAAAAAATCACAATTGGACTTGTCCAATTATGATTAAAAAAAAATGATGTGCAAAAATTACAAAATAATCTACTAAGAAGACAAAAAGAAATTACACATGAGAACTCTTAATTACCTAGTGAATCCATGTCTGAATTGAACAGAACCAGATGTGTCTCTTTCACCACTGTCTTCATCTCAGAATTGCTTTGCCCAACATTAAATTCACAACGCCGATGGTGAATCCATGATAATAAACCACTCCGGAATCTACCAAAACTTTAGACCCAAGTTCCTCGAAATTCATCAATGAATACCATTCTCTTTTTGTGAATGAAAGAACAAAAATAACCCTTAATGTTTGTCAATATGTAATTCATTGATTAATTGATCATCTTTTATACATCAAAGAAACTCATATATAAACACCTTTCAATATAGAACACTTTGTATTTTACTTATTTCTGAGAATGGATGGGTTCAACCTTAAAAATCACAAACAGCGCAGTTTATACTAAACAGAGTTACGAAAACCGCTCGAGCGCTCACTTTACCGCTTGAGCGGTGTGACTAAAAGGCGGTACTCACATATAGGCCAACTGCTTGAGCGCAACATTCATTGCTCGAGCGATAAAACATATTTCTCAGAAGTTTAGAACACATGCAAATATACTAGATGAACTATTTCACCGCTCAAGTGCATAAAAGACCGCTCGAGCGGTCAAACAACTTTAACTTCTTCTCAGCTCGATCCCCATCAAACAAGGAATGTTGAAGTCAAGATCGGAATGTCAGCACATACTCCTTTACATAAGCACAATTTAAGTTGGATTCGCATCTAAACTCTCATAACTCACACATATAATAGAGCGAATAAAAAAATACAACTGAATGAAATTTTATCCAATAGAATTGCCAATTACAAAAAACATAACAATCATGATGTACATTGATGGTTCGGATCATTGAAACGAGACTTGTGATGACCCTTACGGACCTCTTAAATTCTTTCGAGTTTAGATTTAATTTGAGAGAAGCTTAGCCATAGAAAAAAAAAAAAAAATGAGATTGTTATTTTTTTCTTAATTTATCCATTATATGATACCTCTAAAGCCGGTATAAATTCAAGAACGATGTTCCTTCAAGACCGGTCTAACTTTAAGTTGCTCTCAGACCGAAGTAGCTTAACAATTCACGAGCCGAAGTAACTTCATCTCTTTTGGCTGGAGTAACTTTTATCTTCCTTGGGCCTGAGTAACTTTTCGGCCCTTTTTACTCAGTCCGTCATACTTTGGGCCATAAAGTCCGTCTCATAGCTCGGCCCAATTTTCACTCAAAATTACCCTCTCAATTATTATCTATCCATATTAGTTAAAACTGATAATATTTGTATCCTGAGTGGTTATCCTAAATAGGTTTGAATTCAATTTCAAAACCTATTTGGATAAGGTTCAAATTCAAATTCAAATGGTCATGCCACATGGACGCCCATTACTAACAATTTGAAATAAGAGTATTTTAATATTTTTATATTTGTGATTTGTTGCTTTCTTTTATTTTATTTTTTTCTCAACTGCCTTGTTTTGTTTTGCAGCAAATCATATACTTGTGATTTACATTTTTTTTTTTTGTATATTCATTCTTTTATATTTTTTTTGTAATTCACTGATTCTGATTAAGTGATTGGACTCACAAATTCCTAAAAGGTTTGTTGCTTCTATTTTAAGTTCATAGTTATTATATATCTAGAACAATTATCAAAATTTTACCTAAAATTCAAATACGTTAATAACACAAATATAAATTTTAAATTCACACAATTTACAATTATTTTTATGGGACCTAAAAATATTCTTTCAATACATGATAATGGCTCGTGCTAAAAGCTAGTACATGAACAAACAGGAGGGTCCTGATTCTTTTTGAGTTTAAAGTTTAAACGCTTGCCCACCTTATTGACTGGTACAACTTAATAATAGTAACTTGGTCCTACCTTGTCTGAATGTCCCTCCAAATATATTATATATTCTATAATTTTGATAAGATTATCCAGTAGATTTGCCGAAACTTAATTGGAAAAGAGGAAAGTAAGAAACATATGTTTTTGATGTTTGTTTTTTTGATGAAAAAATAAATAAATAAAAAACATGTTTGATATACACTAGCCTTGGTTGGTAGATTTTTTTAAAGTTAAAATCTAACAATCAGAAAGTATAAACTAAAAACATCATTTCTCAACTATTAAATAATCAATTTTTTTCTAAAAAAAAAATTATTTAAGTTATTTTTGCTTAATAAACTAAGCGAAAGCTAAGCTAAACAGACTGACAAAAACTCTCAAACTAAAATAAATTAGAATCACCTCACAGAATCTATAATAAACAGCCCCACAATGTTTTTAAAATAGATAAAAATAAAAATAAATATTAAGTGAATTGCTAGAGAAAAATGAATTCTCTGAAGGATAAGGGAGATGTTAGAGAGAGTGAATTATTTCAAAATAAGTGACTTTTTATTTTCACTTTTATTTTCTGATTTAAAAAAAGAAAAGAAAAAGTGTTGTCATGTTTTGGCCTCATAAACAATTTAAAGGAAAATCAATTTTCGTCTTCCTCTGAGAAGATTGGATAATTTTTACCATTTTTCACAACTACTATACACTTCACAATCATATTGTACAAATTCTACTCAAAAATAGGTAAAAAGATCTCTCTTCTTTTCGAGAAGTTATTGGTTAGTTTTGAGGCACCGCCAAGTGGTGCCCCAACAGTAATGTCATTTGTGAAAGAGATAGAAGCTACGATTTTGTATTAGGTGATTGTGAAATATGAGGGGACATAATAGTTTGTGATTAGTGAGAAGTACCGTTACGTAACGCTCCTGAACCAACTAATAAATTTTTTTTCTTTTCTCTACTAATTATTTTTTGAAGAATAAAATACACTATAGAGTTAAATGCCAAAAAAAAAAAAAATCAAAAAAATGTTTCTAATTTTATACTTTTATCTCAATAAAGAAAACAAAATAGCTAATTTATTATTATTATTATTTGCATTTAAACATATTAGAATAACAAAAGAGTGCTGCTATTAGTGCTCTATCAATTATTTTGGACACCTTATTTTTTTGGACCCTTACTTATAAATTGTAAAATCCTTAAAATTTTTATTATCCCTCCAAATAATACTAAAATTATCTTTATAAAAATATTCCACCCATTCAAATGCACACCTCTATAACCCTTACACCCTAAAAAGCCTTTCTTCCAAAATCCTAACAAAACTCATGACGGTGGAATCTCTCAAAACCAGTGAAAAAAATTTGTGGTAATTAAGAAGTTTTTTCTCTGTTTCATTACGAGGTTTGTCAATCTGTTTGATTTTTTTTTCCACTTATATTTTTTCAACACACAACACAATCTATTTTTATATTTCTTCGGTTGGTTTTCTGTCATTCATCTATGGTCTCACTATACTTGTATGCTCTTTGTATGAATAAAACTGGGCAAAATTTCACCCACTGGTCGACTCCCCAATCAACCGGCTAATCGACCACCCAAGGGTGGTTCGACTTCATTTGTTTGCCTGTTTCTACTGCTACTTCGGTTATTTGTTCCCAAACAAATAAGAAATGTTTGGTTACTTGTTCTTGAACAAATAAACAATGCTTGGGCTTGTTTTCTCGAATTTCGATCATATGTTTGGGAATTAAGTCATGAAAAAATGACAAGTCATGAAAAAATGACAAACAATTTTTATTATTTTTGTCATTTTTTTTCAAGAAACTTATCCTTACAATGCCAATATCTTTTGAGCTAAGAATACCATCAAAGCTATATACCTCTTCTGAGTTTTTATTGTTGTACTCTTCTCGTCTTTGGAAGAGTTATGGTTTCCAGAAAAATTTCTACTCATTGTTATTACCAGAGAAGTATATGTAATCAAATGGTTGCCACCGTTGCCGCCAGAATATTGTCGCCAAAGAGTTGTCAAGGTTTTGAGAGTGAGTGGGTTTTGAAGGTAGGATTTGAAAACGATGGATCGGTGGTGGTGAAGGTAGATGCTCTAAAAAACCTTAACTCATGATGTAGTGAGTATATAACCTAATTGTGAGATGGGGTGTACCAAAATTATTAATACCTTTTTTAATAATTTCATTTAAACTTATTATTGAAACAAAAAACTAAAAAATAAAAAATTTAAAATAATTAATGAGATACTAATAGTAACACTCATAACAAAAATGAATACTTAAATGGGTTAATATTCCTAACCCACATGACAATTTCTGCTGTGGTTGACATTTGTTAGGTGGTAATTCTGTAAATTGAGAGGAATATGAGTGTAAATGTCAACCACAACTACTTTTACCCGGCAAAGATTATTCAAAAATCAGTTTTATCTCTCTCCACTTCTGAGCCGTCCAACGGTCACTTTTTCATCTTCTTCCGCCTCAGCAGATTCTCATCTTTTCCCAATCTCTTCCACTTTCTCTTCTTTCTTTTCCGCAAGCCAAGAATCTCTTCTTCAAAACCCTCTCTCTCTGTCTGTCTCTCTCTCTCTCTAAAACCCTTCTCTTTCCTTTCTCCATCAGAGATTCTCTTTCTTTTCTGCTTTCTTTCTTTCCCAAAACTAGCTTTTAACGATGCCATTGTTCTCATTCACCACCTTCTGTTCTATTCCTTTTGTGCTCCATACCCTTTCCTCTTCTTCTCTCTATTTCTCTCCCTGTCCTTTTCGTTTTCCGCCTCCCTTTTCGCTTCCTAGAAATTCAGGCAAACCTATACATACACTTCAATACCCATGTCGTCTTCTTCGTCCATTAATCACCTCTCTCAGCCCTGTATCTATGGTACAGTCCCTTCAATTTTTCTTTATGTTTTGTGATAGTGTATTACATGTTTGACAAAATGCTTCGATGAATTTTGTATTCTATTTATAATTTTTTTTTTGGGTTCTGTTATGTTATGCATATGTTTATGGAATGTATTAATTGATTGTAGTTATGGGTTGAGGTTTAAACAGGACACTTTGTTTCTTCGTATGGAGAGAGGAAGTCTCGGTTTATGAAATGGTTGAGCAAGCTTTTTAAGAGTGGCTCGGATCGTGGTGGTATGGGCAGGCGAAACTCACAATATATTGGGGAGGAAAACATGGTTTGGCGGCCTCCAGCAAGATCTGTGGTAATAGGACATTGTCTCTATGATTGCATTCATATTATGATGATATTGATGATGATATTAGTTGATAACTATGAAGTCTAGGAAATTTTTGTGATTGTTTAGGTACTGTTAATTTGACAGAAGAACAGTACATTCATTAATTAAAATATATATCAATATGAATAAAATAAAAAAAGAAAATCTGAAAGAGAAGTGATACTCCTTTTTACATTACTGGGACCTTCCAAAGCTACACGCAACTTTGATATCTGCCGAGCAGTTGGCAACCCTCGGACTTGTCTGAAATTGTGAAGTGCTTTGATTTTGTAAGTTCCACTGCTGTTTAGTTGGTTTTTATTCGAAGTGATACCGTTTCAGATAATGATGCTTCAATTATGGGCCATGGTAACGGAGAAAAGTTGCTTTTGGTAGTCTCTACCACATGTTAAATTAATGATCTTCAATTGTGTATTTATTATTAGAGTAAATCTAAGCGCATAGATGATTTTCACAAAATGAGATATAGATGTGAGACAAAGGGTGGGTCCCACACATGCACGTGGGACCAACCCTTTCTTTGATATCTATGTCCCATTCCATAAAAATCTTCAATGTTACTAGGACAGCTGTCATTATTATCATGAGCTGCATGATTGAATTCCTAAATGTTGTTTATTGAATAATAGAAGATGTTCTTATACAAGTCTGCCAAATCTCATCAGGGTGAGCACTCTAGAACTGACAAGGAGAGAGAGGAATTAGACCGTGCACTTGCACTTTCTTTGGCTGAAGATTTGAAGAGACCACCTGGTAGGCATGTTGTATAAGACAGTAAAATTATTGTACTGTTACAGTAATCCAGTTTAAATTCTCTCTCTCTAATAAGGTTCTGTTCTATATATGAATGTTTGGATTTTCAGGATACAGATGGCAAACAGAGAATGATGAAGATCTAAGGGCACTTCAGGATGTCCCCAATTCATCTTCATATCCTCCCTACGCCAATGTTCCCAATTCATCTTCATATCCTCCCTATGCCCCTACTGACTATTATCCCAGAGACTATAGGTAATAGTTTGTGGTAATCGGTCTAAACATGTTTTGCTCAGTTGAAAAAAAACACCATTATATATATGAGTTGTTATGTTAATCATAAAACATATTTATCCAACAACTTAGTAGCATACTTGGAAACTTTGTGATTGATTGCTATCTGCCAAGTTTAGCCGCTTTCATTTCCTGGTAATCCATTCCCATGGATGGTTGCCTGCCCAGAGGCACAAATGACTGGGAAATTTTTTGCTGTTTTGATCCAAGTCAAACACTTCTCAGTATTGTATTTCTGAGCCTTTTTTCCCTAGTATGAACAGTTAGAATGTGATACTTACATAGAAAAGAGAACATGAGAATGCACACAATTCCTTGTAATAGTTATTACACCAATTATAATGTATAAGCATTTTAATTCAATGTATGGCTAATTTGGCCTTTTTAGTCAATAAAAGGAAGAAGCTGATTGCTTGGCCTCTTCTTTTTACTCTGGCCAATGAATTTTTTCGCCATGCAGTCAAAACTTTATTTGACTATTTGTCAAGAATTGTAGACAAGGAAGATGTAGACTGTGATGGTAGCTCTAGGCATTTCCCTATCCAGTTTTATTAATTAGAACAATTATGGAATCAAATCATAATTTGAAGTCACAAGTTTCCGAACCATGAAAATGATTGATAGTGTATGCACACAACTATAACTTGCAGAGTATGCGGTGGATGCAACCGTGACATTGGCTGTGGAAACTATTTGGGATGCATGGGATCTTTTTTTCATCCAGAATGCTTCCGTTGTCGTTCTTGTGGTTTCCCAATCACCGAGCATGAGGTAGCTATTTTTTTTGGTCCCTAAGAATTCACAACCTCCCAACCTTAGCACATACACACAGAAAATAATAAAAATAGAAGATTATCCTATTTCTATTAAAATAATAAAAATAAAAGATTATCCCATTTCTATTATTTTAAAGCAATATTAGGACTAGTAATTCTCTTTAATCTTTGTTTGTCTCTAGCCTTATTGGTTTTTTCTGTTGATTCAAGTTTTCTTCATCAGGGAGGCATGCATACCATAAGTCCTGCTACAAAGAGCTAACCCATCCCAAATGTGAAGTTTGTCATCAATTTGTAAGGAAACACTACTTTGGAACACTTGGATTGTTTTTCTTCTCGTCTTGAGCCAACTATTTTTCTTTTCTTTGTTTTTTTGTAGCTTTTTCCTTATAAAGCTGATTTTCAGTTGTAATTGACTTAAGAGTGCTGCTGTTTATTAGCTGATGGTTCAGTGGTAGGTTTAGGTAGAAAAGTATGTTCTTGATGGAAAATCCAGTACTAGGTTTGGTTAGAATAAGTAGCGTCGTGGTGCTTTTCCGATGAACTTGGTTTGCCCAAGTGAGTTGGGCATCTAAGTAACACCAACACGGACACACGACATGACATGACACAGACTCGCTGACGCATTGATTTTAAAAAATGCAAGACATGACATGCTTGGGACACGTTAAAATTTTATTTTATATCATATATATGGAAAATTTATTTAAAGGTAATGAAAAATATGTTGTTAAACATCAAGTCATCATTCATGTAACAATTACATTCTATAAAATGCAAAGAAATTATAGAACATTGTATTACACATAATGTATTTATCTTATAAATGTTTCAAAACATATTTAGAATGTATAAGTTGTGTTGTGAAGAATGCAAACCATTGTTATTATGAAGGGTTTCATCACATAGGATGTATTTGAAGAGTTTAAGAAGTATCATCGAAGTGTTGGTAAAGTGTCCAATATTATGAATATGATTTTTTAATTAAGACATATAGAAGAAGTGTCGGACATGCTGTTAGGAGTGTCCAAAGAGTGTCGGTGTCAGGATACACTTTTTCCCTAGAAGTGTCTATGTGTCTCAGACATATTGGGATACCTACAAAATTCTTGCACATTCTTCTTGGCATTTCCATTATTTTGTAAACCGAGATATGTTTGTTACATCTGAAATCTGCCAAATTTGTGTTTATATTGATGTTAAAAATTCAAAATAAATATTGGAATTCTTAGAATTGATACCCTGTAAATGATTGTTGCTATAAACCTCATGTATTGCATAAAGCTAAAAGTGTAATATTTTGTAGTCTGTATATGCTGAAAGATGAAGGCTTTTCCTTATTATACTAATTAGATTAAGAAAAAAATGAATATACAAATTGTTAATATGCATATCACACAGATCTAGTTTAGGCCATCTATCTTGGAACTATCAACTGTGAATTGCTGTCGATCATAACTGCTAGCAATCTTCATATTGATGTTTATAATCTTACTTTCACATATTCTCAGATCCCAACAAATGGAGCTGGTTTGATAGAGTACAGGTGCCACCCATTTTGGTCCCAAAAATATTGCCCTTCACATGAGCATGATAACACGGCCCGATGCTGCAGTTGTGAGCGTTTGGAGGTACTGATCTAAGCTAGCATTTGTTATTTTTATTTTTTTTTCAAAATGATGATTTTTATTTTTATTTCTCTTGTTGATGTTGGTTCCCCACTTCTTCCCCTTCTGAAGTCTTGGAATGTAAGATACGTATCTCTAGGAGATGGACGGAGTCTATGTTTAGAGTGTATGGAATCTTCTATCATGGATACTGGTGATTGCCAACCACTCTACCATGCCATTAGAGACTACTATGAAGGAATGAACATGAAACTAGACCAGCAAATTCCGATGCTTCTGGTCGAAAGACAAGCCCTTAATGAAGCTATTGTAGGCGAGAAAAATGTAATAAATGAATTCTCTCCATTTTTTATGTTCCTGATTTATAGAATTTTTCTAATGCAGATAACTTTCTTTCCAGGGCTTCCATCACATGCCAGAAACAAGGGGTTTATGTTTGTCAGAAGAGCAGACAGTTACCAGTGTATGTTGGATAACCATATGATTGAATTTTTTTTTATTTACTAAATTTAAATTTATCACTGTTAAACTATGTACCTAATAGGTGCTTCTCTCTCTCTCTCTCTCTGTCTCTGTCTCTCTATTTTAATTAAAAAAAAAAATCTAGATACTTAAAAGGCCAAGAGTAGGGAACCACCGACTTGTAGGAATGAGAACACAACATCAAAAGCTGACTCGAAAATGTGAAGTAACAGCCATTCTTGTTCTGTATGGTCTCCCAAGGTAATATTTGGTGATTTTTTTCACTCTCTCTCTCTCTTTTTCACGCCCTCTGTCTCTCTGTTTTATAATTGTTAGACACTTTACATTTCTACACTTCCATATGATGTGTTTGTTGTTTACTCTTGTAAGTGGCAAACCTTGGTTAATGTTATGAACTCTTATGGACACATCTTCGCTTTATACAGATTACTGACAGGTGCGATTCTTGCTCATGAGTTAATGCATGGGTGGTTACGCCTTAAAGGTACTACATGAGTTCCTTCCGTCACTTTTCATTTTTTCTTTGATTGAGGGTCATAGAAGACATGTTGATGCATGACAAGAACATTAGAGCAACTTCATTGATGTAGTATTTAGGTGTAGCAGTACTAAAGAAGCACAACACAACGGAAAACACTCCAACAATGTAGAATATGCTGTGCTAAAATAGCACATATTTTATACTACGCCAGTGGAGCAACTTGTAGTGAATCTGTATGAAGTTTGTTTTTGTTGTGCTAAAATGGCACAAAAAAATGCTACACCAATGGAGATGCTCTTATGTTGGGCAAGAGGAACAATAACCGGAGATTACTCTTCCAAGATCGATGCATACCACATGATGACGTACATCTATTATTTATTTATTTTTATTCTTGAATTATGCAGGCTACCGTAATCTGAATCCGGAGGTAGAGGAGGGTATATGTCAAGTGCTTTCTTACATGTGGCTCGAGTCAGAGGTAACGCCAGGATTCAGAAATATGCCATCCACATCAACAGCTTCATCATCATCGTCAATGTCATCATCGAAGAAAGGTGGAAAGTCTGGTGTCGAGAATAAATTGGGTGAGTTTTTCATGCATCAGATTGCCCATGATGCTTCTCCGGCCTATGGTGGAGGATTTAGGGCTGCAAATGCAGCTGTGAATCAGTATGGTTTACGCAGTGTTCTGGACCACATTCACCTGACTGGGAGTTTTCCCCTGTAATTTGATTTACAATAGGTATGGCCTTGTCTCTGTTGGAAGTTGGTTTGTTTTTATTGTTGGAGATCATTGAATTAGCTCCTCAGAAGGATTGAGTTGATCAAAAAAAGCTTGGATTAGCTCCCCCTAGTTTTTGTGGGGTTCTTTTGAGGATTCATTGTGGGGTTCTTTTGAGGATACATGTGACTCGAAACATAATAATAACGATAAGCATATCTTCATTCTATAAAATGGAAGTGGTTCTTTGTTGTCTGCATTCTAGTTGGCAATTACGTTCTTTGGACACGTTAACATGTTTTTCAGCATTTTAAATTTTTTTAGTTTACTTATCTAATTTTTCTGCAAGGGATCCGGGGCTTGAGCCTGATTGCTGACTTTGATTGCAATAAGAATCTGGTGCTTTTCTTTTGGCCTTTTTGGCACAAGTGATAGAAAGGAGTTTGCGGATCGTAGGATAGTTATAATCTTTTTCAATCATGGAATGCATTAGATGTGAACTTAATGCTACAAAACCATGCCAATAGGCAACAAAAACAGAAAAAAAAAAAAACAAACAAACAAAAGATTACATGTTAATAAGAACTGAACAGTTGTCTATCCCTTTGTCTGTGACGAGACACCAACTTTGCAGCCCAACCTTTTTTTTTTTTTGAAGTTCCAAGGAGGGAGATAGCTAGCATTGTCATGCGTGCAACTCAACAATGGTGTTCATGAACTAGATGTTGTCTAACATGACCTCTAGAGAAAAATTCATGTCACATTGTATCATATAAGCTGTCATGATTGAACAAAAACTTCATCTCATATGTCCCCTCCCTGATATTAAACAGAAACTGACCATTGTGTCCAGTTTTGCGACCAGTTTCTGTGTTTGTAGACTTATTCTTGTTAATTAGAACAACAAGTTCTCCTGCTCAAATTACTCGTATAGTCTCCGACATTAATGGTCGTGCCCTGACCTGGAAGCCCGGTGGCTGCCTCCTGAGCTGCCAGTGCCTTCCTGCTGATTATCTGATAAATGTCCAATAAGATTGTTTGGAACGCCTTCTCAATGTTGGGTGCCTCCAGGGCTGAGGTCTCCAGGAACGAAAGGCCTTCCTTCTCGGCCAGGAGCTGGGCGTCTTGGTCTGAGACTGCTCGGAGGTGGTTCAGGTCAGACTTGTTTCCAGCCATCATGATGACGATGTTGGAATCAGCATGGTCCCTCAGTTCGCGGAGCCACCTCTGGACATTTTCGAAGGTCTGCCTCTTGGTTATGTCATAGACCAGGAGGGCTCCCACTGCACCTCTATAGTATGCACTTGTGATGGCTCGATACCTCTCTTGACCTGCTGTGTCCCATATTTGGGCCTTCACTGTCTTGCCCTCTACCTGCAACCAAAATAGTTAAAGCTAAATTTGCAAGAAATATCATATAGTGTACATATATACAATGCACACAATAAATCTTACATTCGCACACATCAAAACTTATGTCGTTGTCTACTTGTTGCTATTGTGTGTGTTCTGTGGTGCAAGAATGTATCAAAACGATTACAGAGATGGTAAGACTATCTCTGACCAGATTGTAGTGACTGTTAGATTTGTGCTATGTCTTCTTAGAGATGTAAGAAGTAGTCAGTTCAATAAATTAAGCAATATGAATGGCGAATTCTGAATTTAATCTCTGTAGATAATTTCTTATTGATCTTTGTAGATAATCTTTGTAATTGTCGGAGCATTTTATGGTGTTTGTCTCTGACTCTTTGGATAATCTAATAATGGATGGTGTGGATAACTACAGTGGATTTGCATGTTGTGGGTTCTGTGCCTGCCTCTGGGTGATGTGTCTTCTTTTGTTTTGGATTTGTTAATTGCTACTTGTTTTTTTCAGTGATGCCAATTGTATTGATGTATATTTTCTGCTCTTTTATAAAATTATCTTGCTTTCTTGAAAAGATTAAATCTTACATTTGTATAAATATGTGTCCTTAACAAGGTTACCTAATGATAATACAATAATCATAATAGAACACCAACATGAAATGTGGTGATCCCAATAAAGCCCAGCCAAAAGGGATGAATGGGACCTGCCTTGTCTCCAACTCAACTGACCAAGATAGGTCAAGTTTGTTCCATCCATTAAGTAAAAAAGTAACATAGACAATGTTATAACAACCATGCCATGTCTATGTAAATTGTTGAGTCATCTATTTGGTGAAGTAACTCTCTATATGTAGTAATACATACTAGTGGTGTGTGCACATCTGGTGAGTATGCTATTAAAACTGTAAGAAGTTATAAATTTTGATTTGAATTTGAGGCATGAAGTTACAGGTAGTTACGTGACAGTTTTCGCCAATTTGGATATAGACTTTATATAATAACTATCCAATTGAAATCCAAAATAAGGTGAAATAATTGGAACACGCAGTCCTATATACACAATACTTCTACCAACCAAAAAAAAAAATAAAAATAGAGGCAATAGAAGAATTATCACACAAAAACATGTTATCTATTAAATGGCATTCATACATCCACAACTTTGTAAAAACATGTTTTTCCTTCCATTTCAAATTCTGAAATATAACACAACTTTGTAAACACATGCAACCAAATGGACCCAAAGGTTCACATATTGGCAAAATGTAGATCACAGAAATTTGGAACTAGATGGGTGGTCAACAAAATAGTACATTGATATACAAAACTCGTGACAAATTGGCAAAATGTAGATCACAGAAATTGAAATTAAACCTGAAGAGTCCTTGTGGCAAATTCAACTCCAATGGTAGATTTCGACTCTAAGCAGAACTCGTTGCGTGTAAACCTGGAAAGTATATTAGACTTTCCAACACCCGAGTCCCCAATCAAGACTATCTTGAATAGGTAATCATACTCATGATCCACCTTGTAGGCCATTGCTTCTTCTCTTTATACCCTCCACAAACCTACCCATAACATAACCAAATCACAATTCATTAAAAAAGAAACAAGAAAAAAACACAAAACAAAAAACCAAAACCAAGTAAAAAACAATTTGTTTGTTTTTCTTTTGGAAAATCTGAAAATTGAATCTTGGCTTTACTCATTAGGATTTTATTTCTTTCTATTTTCTCATTGTTTATTCTTTCTTTCCTGGAAAAACAAAAGAATGTAAGAGAGAGAGAAGCAACTAACCATAAACAGATGATGATTTGGTTGAGGAAAGAGCAATGCAATGGAGATTTTGGAATCTAAGATTTGCAGAGAACTTTTGGGGTAAGAAAGAGAAGAGAGAGAAAGAGCATTTTTCTCAGTCCAATCAGGAGAAACAGAATAAGCGAGGAAACAGGAATTTAAGCGGTCATTTTTAGTACGGAAAATTCCAAAAATACATATGTTATATTCAAATTTTACTAGAATAAAACATTGGTTTTTATTTCATTTGTGGCCTGTTTGGTTGCTACACAAAGATGGTGAAATTAAGATCTCATTATGAACTGGTTCCATTTAGCAACCAAATGCAAAACACTGATATTGATATAAGTTTGGTTTTTTGTAGTGCATAAGCCTACTTGTTCAAACTTTATTTGAAATTATTTAAGCTGGACTTATTACATAATAGGCTGATTTGAAATAATGAACCAAACACAAATTGAGTTCAAGTAGTTTCATTTGTTTTACTATCCTAAAGGACCATACACTAATGAGGGGTTTGAAACATATGTAGACCTTGCATTATTTGTTAATAATTATTTTGTTTCTAAAAGTGTTTTTATCAGCAATATTTTTAAAATTTTATTGCTAGAGGCTATTTTTTTTTTTTTTTGACTTTTCTGTATAGCCTTTTCGTGATGATTGGAATTGATTTTATAATATTTTTTGCAACAAAAATTTTACTTCTAGAAATGAAAAATTTTACTCTCTAAAACTCTTCTACTTTTACAAATTTTTTGAATATGGTACCTAACTTACCATGGACCTAGATATGAGATGTATACAAAAATAAATAATAATTTGTCACAATCAAAAGCATTATTTTTAAAATCACGTTTCATCATTTTCATTTTTATTATTATTTTTTTCGATAATTAGGTGTCTAAACTAATTTGTGTGCATTTCGATTAATTCCAAATCTTAGTTAATAATTGGACAAACTTCTATTAGCTTTTTGAATTGACTCGAACTTGAGACCTCTTGAATTTTATTCTCAGATTTGTAGTGCCGGCCAAAAATTTCAAATTTGTTCTTGTCATTTTAATCGAACTCAACGAGGAAAAAAGGAAATGAAAAAAAGAGAGAAAAAGGAATGAAATGCATACTTGTACACAAGAACAAAAGGAAGAATAATGCTCTAATCGTACAAAGACAACAAGGAGGTATCCAGCTGTCAGCATCTTCTTTAGATAGATGTGGCAAACGGGTGAGTTTGAGCGGATTAAAATGGATCAAATAAATAAATTCGATTAATTTGTTAATTAATTTTTTTTTTCTATAAGGTAGAGGTGGCAAATGAGTGATTTTTTTTTGAGCGAGTCAAAATGAGTGTGTTTAAGTGAGTTAAAATGAGTTCCCTATTTAAAATAATCTAATTCAAACTAGCTCAAATTTAAATGGGTTGGATTGAATTGAATAAATGTTAGACAAGTGAATTCGATCAATCCATTTACTTTATTATTACTTTAAAAATCTGACGTTGGATGGCTTTGTTTAGCGGCAGTTACAATAAATATATACGGTCATTTGTGAATCCAAGGGAGCAGGAGATAAGTTCCACATATTTTCTTGCTATAAAAAGCCCATTAATTCATTAGTTATATTGCATAAAAAAAAAAAAAAAAAAATCAGCAAAACGGTATTATCTAAAGCTTTCGGGGTACCCTTCAATGACCAGTCGTATACCTCCTTCTTCATGGCTTCTTTTAATCAGCTTCACATGTGCTTTGCTCATTAGTTGTAGTATTGGGCAACCTGTGGATGATCAAAAGGCATATTTCTCTACTATAGTTTTTATTCTTCTTATTTATTGATTTTTATGGCTCTTATTAAAAATTATTTAGTAATGCTGAGCGCAAATATATATGTGGTGTTATTGACCAATGAAGTCGCATACAAGGAGATGAATATAGCTGATCTTATCTCCCACCTTTTAAAAAAAATTAAAGTAGCCATATATTTTGTGTGCGTACCGAATCTCGCACTAGATAAAAGTGGATCAACGCTCCACGATTGAATGGACGATTAAGGAACTGAGGACCTGCAAACACAAAACATTGATGGTGCAATCTTCTAGTGGGAGAACGGTGGCCATATTACGATAATCTAGTGACGTAATATAATTATGCAATCCAAGTGAGAGATTGTAAGAATTTTTCCTGAATATGGCTTATACATGATTATATATACTATATTCATTTCATTAAGTAAGATACATGTACATCAATTAGATGGTGACTAATCATTGATGAATGCACCTATATATACATAATGTATAAAAGATTAGTGGAGATAGTGTCAATGCATTGAATGTGATAGATTCATTATAAATGAATCTTAGATATGCATTATATATCTACTATGAATGTAGAAGATATACTAATCTATCTAATGAGATTCATTAAATGAATGAATTCTTTGATGAGAAGATTACTAGTATAAATAGTGTAAGGTCTCAAACCACACTCTCTATCACAAAACTCAAGTTGTCACCATAAAAAGGCTCCCATTGCCTAGAGAGATGGAAGCGGTTTAAAGATCTTAAACAAATAAAGAACTTGAAGATCAAGGTCTTCTATTCAAGGTTTATTTTTCTCAAAAGTGGTTTTTATACTATCATGGATCAAGGTACGTATACACTTATTTTGTATAGTAGAAATAGAATTGAATCCTTAACGGTTTTTAATTTATGTTCCACAAAGTTTTCTATTAATTGGCATCAGAGCATGGTTCTCAATTCTGATACATGGAACATATAAGTATGAATTTCATTTTATGATGATGTTTGGTATAACCAGTACATAACCTTGATTTACACTTATCGAATTTTATCTTTGTTTTTGGTCAATCTTTTATTCTATTGATATTAAAATAAAAAATTGTAAATTATTGAACAAGTGGTAATTAAGATAATGCCTTATGCACTTATAATGTTTTGTTACACACCTTACGAGTTGAAACATTGTTGATCAGTCCAACGGAGGTTCAACACTATGTATGTTTGAACAACAGAGTTGATTAGTATAATAAATATAGCATTGAGTTTTTCTGCCCAACGGTGATAAACTCGTTACGGTCTTAATGATTATTTTATTTTATTTTATGTTGTTTATTTTTATTAGTCATTTCATTTACTTTTATGAAATTGCTAAAATATGTTATTATTCGGCCTAACTGAAAGACAACTTGATTTCGCATCTAACTAATTATGTTTTCTAGTTATATGTTTAACTTGTGGTGTTATTTTTATTCATGACATGTGAAAAGTAGTTTTCTTGATTATATTAATGTAATGGATATTATGTGTTTGCAACATTGAATCCTACTGCAATTAGTAGTTACTTGTCTGGTATTGAAGCTTTGAGTGGAACTAATTTTAAGAAATGGAAGGAACATATTAGAATTGTTTTGGAAATTATGGATTTAGATTATGCGTTAAGAGAGTCAGCACCTACAAAGCTTAATGATACAAGTTCTAAGGAACACATGGCTTTGTATGAAAAATGGGAATGCTCTAATCCCTTAAGTCTAATGATTATGAAAGGCTCAATTACACCTGCAATTCAAGGACCCTGCTTCTGAAAGTGCAGTGGTCTATATGAAATCTATTGTAGAACAATTTATTGGAACTTCCAAATCCCTTGCTAGTACTCTCATGATTAAAATGATGACAATGAAATATGATGGTTTGAGTGGTGTTCGTGAACATATCTAAAAGATGAATGACATGGCCTCTCAATTAAAGGGAACGGACATGGAAATTTTTGAAGGTTTTCTTGTTCATTTCATTATGACTTTTCTTCTTGCACAATTTGGTCCTTTCAAGATCAATTATAATACGTGGAAAGATAAGTAGAAGATAAGCGAGTTAATTGCCATGTATGTTCAAGAAGAAGAGAGGCTTAAAGTTGAAAAACCTGATATGTCATCGAATCTTATTTTCTTCATTAGCCTTGTGAGTTTCATCATTTGCATTCTTTGTTTTCTTACTTTTGGTTGGACAGGAAAGGTCACATACGAAAAGACTGTCGAGGTTTTAAAGGTTGGCTGGACAAGAAAGGTAACATTCAATACTTTGTGTCTTATGAATCCTTTTTGGTAGATGTTTCACTAAATTCTTGGTGGATTGACATTGGTGCAAGTATTCACATAACAAATTCCATGCAGGGATACCTTACAAGTTGTAAACTAAGGAGAACGAACCATTACGGTCAGGAATGGAATAGAAGTGGACGCTGAGGCTATTGGCACCCTCCGTCTAATTTAGACTCCGGTTTCATTTTAGATTTAGTAAACACAGTTTATGTTCCTGTTTTTACTAGAAACCTAATTTCTGTTTCACAACTTGATTCATGTCATTATGAATTTAAGTTTGGAAATAATGGAGTCTCTTTATTCCATAATTCTCATATGATTTGTTCTACTACTTTATATGGTAATCTTTATCCATTGAATTTAGATTCCACTTATGCACACTCTCTTTTATCCTTTCATGTAAACGACTTGGTAAATAAAAAGAGAAAGCGAGTGAATCAAAATTCATTCATGTTGTGGCATAAGTGCTTGGGCCACATATCAAGAGAAAGGATGGAACATCTTATTAAAGACGGAATTTTAAGTTTGATTTTAGTACTTGTGTGAATTGTGTTAAAGGAAAATACACAAAGACAAAGAAAAAAGGTGCTACTAGGACTACTGAATTATTAGACACAATTCATACTGATATGTGTAGTCCCTTTACTGTTCCAACTATTTCTAGACACAAATATTTTATTACTTTTATTGATGACTGTTCTAGGTATACTTATGTGTATCTTATTTGTGAAAAATCAGAAGCATTAGATATGTTCAAACTCTATAAAACTGAAGTTGAAAATCAACTTGGCAGACATATTGAAAGTGTAAGATCTAATAGAGGCGGTGAATATTATGGTAGATTCATTGAGCCAGATCAAAATCCAAGAGCTTTTGCTTTATTTTTAGCTGAGAATGGTATTGTTGCTAACTACACGATGCCCAGTACACCTGAGCAAAATGGTGTAGCTGAGT